GGAAGATGGCAGGAGGGAGGGGCTACTATATTTGGGCAAAAATGGCCGCTCCCAGACACTTTTTTTATGGACAGTAGGCTGTCAGGAAAGGAAAGGACTACAGGCTGGATTTGAACCCTGCTCGCCTGCGTCAAGGACTAAGGCCTCCATACATGGGTCGTGTGCGATAACAGGACTTTTCCTTTAAAGGTCAACATAACCCATTCTTTCCCTCTGATCAAAAGCAATTTAAACCTTAAAAATGATTGAGGAAGCCTAAGAAGTAAAATATCTCGGTGTCCACCTAGATTCTCATTTACAATTTAACAAGCATGTTAAGAAAATCTAACATGCAAACATTTAGAACGATCAAAGGCTCAGAAACCTTTTTTATTCCTCTTAGAACCACCGGTTCAGAAACCAATGGAGGGTCTGATGGGATCTGTACATAAAAGTGACCTCAGATCATCTGCATCACTGGTTCTGGTGTTTCTCATGACGACTCTCCTTTAATTTGCAATGAGTTTCAGTTTAATCTAGTTTGCTGACTAGTTAAGCCCGGTACCTTGTTTGCACCTTCTTTAATTACTATGCCAATATGTGACCAGTTAATTTCTCCGCTGTGAGATCAATAAAGCTCATCTAATCTAATCTAATCTAATCTACCATTGATCCAACCTTTGGCGGTACAAGTCTGAGCCTCTCAACTCTTCCTCCAGACCAGGGGTCACCAATGCAGTGCCTGTGGGCACAAAGGGGCCCTAACGGACCACATAGGGGTCCTAGACGTCTTCTGAAAACAGAACAGCTCACCAGAGGCTAAGTTTAAAATTATATTTTATTATTTTGTTCTTAATTAATCATGTATAGAGCATTTTATCATAGTAATCATATAGGGCACTCAAGTATTTACAGTAGTAGCCATTCAAAATTTCCCCTCTTGACGGGCCCTTGGCTGGTCCCTTACATTTCCTTTTTCAACATCAATCTTTGTACCAAAATATTCTGTCATGATTTGTGGACAGTAGTTCAGTGAAAGGGTGGAGTGAGTAAAATAAATACGCACGCCCAGGAAAAGGCCAGTGGCTGGCAGTTCAAGGGGAGTAGGTTGCCATTAGGCTGCTGTTTGACTGCAAAGGGCCACTTTCAATGGCTGCTACTGTATAGCGGTTTCAAAAATGACAATATCTAAAAGAAAACTAGAAGTTAAAAGAAAAAATAAACATATGTTTACTATGTATGAAGTTTAGGGGAACGTTGACCCCTCCAGATCATAGGCCAGTACTGGTAGCCATTCCTATGACTCAGTAGCCATGAAGTACACTCTTCTAGAGTTTGAGGTAGAGGTGCACCGATTGCAGGTTTCTGGTTGATCATCGATTTTTGATCTTTAAAAAGCGTGACATGTTGATTACCATTTTGTTTTGTTTTTTAAAATACAGACAAGGTCAGTTCTTATAAGATCACAAGACACCTTCAATATTTCAATCATTAATCAGCATCGGGGAAACTAGAAAACTTCTCAAATATCTGCCGAAAGTAAAGTTTAGAGCATTGGAAGCGGGTGTTTTTCAGACCTTTGCAGAGGAAATTAAGATCAGTTTCACATCTAAGCATCGGCCGATCTATCTGTGCATTCTTAATAAGGAACTTTATTCTTGAGGCTTGTGCATATTTTGTACCATAATTTTTCCTTCAATAAACTTTCTGCCAATACTCTGAGATGCAGCTCACTGGGAACAGTCAGCTACATCAAGCTTCAGTCACATTCTCTATCCGTTTTACATTTTGAACTAAATGACTGAAAATGATCAGCTTAGCGATAATCTCTCCTTTACCAAGCATCAAATGTTAAACTTAATGGATAATTTTTGGACAACGTGTTAAAAAAGACACTTAAAGTCCAACCTTTATCTTTGTCCGTCTCCCCTTCTGCTTTACTTTGCTTCTCCAGGTCTTTTTTAAGCAGCTCGGGGTCGATTTGTGTCTTTAGGAGGGCAACAACTTCCGCCAGGTCATTTCTGGTCCTAAAGAGGAGAAAAATTAAAGATCAGTCGACAGATCTAGAAAATTCCTCATTCTTTGCATTCTTAGCCAGATCAACTAACAAACTGACCTGACGATGCACTTCCACGACCCCCCGTCCAAGTCGTCCTGCTCCTCCAGGTAAACGCGCACATTGTCATCTTGGTCCAGCTGAAACCAGTACATCTGTCCGTCCTTGTCCCGGCCGATCGGCTGCAGACGCATTTTCTCCGGATCTTCGTCATTGATGGCTGTTTTAAACTTCACGTTTTCGTCAAACTGGATCTCGCATAAATACTGGAGAGAAACGAAGAGGAGTTATGAAACAGACGACTAAAGGAGCTGCTGTAAATAAATTAATAAAATAAACTGAGCCAACTGACACCTGCTCATCTATTTATAGAAATTGAACAGTCACCTGGTGTTTCATCCACACGCCTTCCAAATGGGTTTTTAAAATTTCTAAAACATGTTTCATAATTATTTTTCCACAAATACTTTTTTGTTTTATAGCTGTGTAAACAAATAAAATGAGATTTAGAATTCCACTCTGCGGGAGTAATGCCACAGCAGGTAACCGTTTTTAGCCACGCCCCCTAATGGCTGGCATCATTGAAAACTAGAGGCTCAGAGCTTTCCAAGGAGGGGTCAGAGGTCATAATGCGACCATTTCAGGTAATGTAACCGGGATGTGTTACATAAACATGCTCTGTTATTCTAATTTTCTATTCAGTTTGGTGATATTATTGGTTAATTTCAATGAATCAACGGCTAAATCTCAGGAGCAAAGGCTTTTTCTTAGGCAGAAAGTCTCCAATAATCTAAATCAGCATATTTTTCTGACCAGATTCCCTTTATGATAAAAAAAAATGCATTTTTGTACTTCTGGCACTGTGCCAAAATCACATTTCCTCCTAGACCACTGTCCACTAAAACCTTTGTAGAACAAACATGCTTTGACTTATTCAGTCCAAATTTGCTTGACTTATAGTCAAGATGTGGATCTATAAAGTCTGAGGGTTAATCCAGAGTTTCAAATGGGCTTTTATGGTGTTTTGCAGGGTTTATTTTGGAAAAAAATTTGGTCAGGCTAAATATTTTAAATTTTTTCTGTGTTTAATTACCTATAAATAAGACACGGTGACATTTAATACAGTAGTTCTACCTGAAAAATATTCCTCAATGAATTTCTGTCACTGTTAGAAAGAGTGAGAGAACCTGGTCTAGTTTTTTGTTTCCACCCGGACCGCTAGCAGTGTGACACATGCTCAGAGTCGTTTTCTTCATTGTGGATATTTGTGTGTGTGATAAATAAAGTAATTGCCTTTTAGATAATAGTTTACTCTTTACCTGTTCTGAGTTAATATCATTATAGTGTAAATCAGTCATTTATACCATATTTATGCGTTTCCTGCTGTTCTGGTAAGCT